GGCGGGGGGGCCGACAGCCCTGGGACGGCGGCTCGGATCAGCCGCGCTCGCTCCTTCCCATGGGAAACGGCCACGTCGCTCCCCGCTCAGAGCGCTGCCAACTTTCCGAAACCTCCAAAGGGAGGAAATATCGCCTCCCCAGCGCCAGCACGGGGAGGACAAGCCGGCACGCAGGGGAGCAGCTCAGCTCCTACCTGTCCTCCCGGACGAGCTGGAGCGCTCCCTTTGCCGGCCGGGAAGGCGGCAGCGAGCTTGGTGCGATGACAATTGCTGCATAGCAGTTTATTTTTTTTAAATGCCATTTTAGGACTTGGGCAGAGGCAGCTGTACGCCTATTGATTTATTCGGTTCTTTAAGAATAAATCAAACAACCTTGCTTTCTCCCCGGTGCATTTTGCCTTAGTTGGAACGTGCGCTCCTCTCCAGATCACTAAACATAGATAAGTGGCTGGGAGGATATTCGGGGGAAGTATCATATACGCCTGCTCTATTCTTATCCTATTCTCCAGGCATCCAATTTTGGCCACTGTTTGAGATAAGACCCTGGGCTACATAATTCAGCAGTCTGCTGTTCTGACCCGCTGCAGCTCCCCATATATTCTTATCCAGGGGGATTAGCCCAGGTGAGCTCACCCCCAAAACCCCCCTCAAAACCAAAAAGTAATTACTGGGAGCTTTTCCCCTCCTGTGTCCCCCAAATTGCTTATTCAGAAGAAGGCGGGGGGAAGAGAGAGAAGATGCAGTGGGTTTTTTCAACAGTTTGGTGCCTCCCACTGAAATCCCTGTAGCTCCCATTCGGGGCTCTGCTGTTTTGGAGGCAGGAGCTTTTTGCACATTAGTCATGCCTTCTACCAAGTTGCATAACGCCACTTCTAAAAATTGCATAGCGCAGCTCCGCGTCGGGTCTAATACGCAGTACATGAACCACCCGCCGCTCTGCCGAGGAGAAATTTTGCAGCCCACCAAGGGCTTTCCGTAGCAGGCAAGCGGCTCCGGTGTTCGGAGGAGCCCCTTGGGGACACTGGGTGGCCTGAGGAGGGGGAAAAGGGGAGGACGGGAGGTCTCGGGACTGGCGGCTGCATCCGGTCCCAGGTTAACCGGCTGCTTTCACGTGCCTCAAACCCCAAAGGCAGCCCGGGAGAGCTGGGTTTTAACGCCTGCCTCGTCCCCAGATTCAGCGAGCGGCCTCGGATAAATCATTTATGACTCAGAGACCACCGAAATGGTCGAGGGCGACCTCCCGCAGCGCCTGTTCGATCGTGGGAGGAAAGGCCACAATCATCGCAAAGCGCAGCGGGACGCAAAGCCTGGAGCAGAGGGACAGGCCGGCCGCGCCGCGGCCCCCGGGACCCTCTCGCTCTCGGGCGGCTGGGGGGACGCCCGGCGCTTCCCCGCGTCTCACAACCCCATAGAGTTACCAGAACCGTCCAGTACGCGACTACGCTGTAATTATAGAAATTAGACGAGGGCGGCTAGGCAAGGCGTTCACGGCGGCACGCTCGGACGCCGCGAGAGGATGTCCCGGGGCGGCCGGGTCTGCTGGGTGCTCAAAGCTCGACGTCAAACTCCCAGGAAGCTGCTCGCAGCACCAAGCTGAGCTTTTCTCTCTTCTCCTACTCCTTCCTTTGACTCTTAATGATCTGCTGACAAGCCTGGGGAAGGAGAAGAGAGGAAGGAAAGAAAAGGGTTTTCCAGGCTCTGCCTCGTGTAGGACTTGGGGGGGGGGGCTCGCTTTCTTCCCAAATAAAGGCAGATGTTTTGACTGGCTCCTCCTGTCAGCTGCTTGTTAAACTCACTGGGGAGTGGGAAAAGAAAACCTAAACCAGCCAAGGCATTTAACCATTCCTCCTTGGGTAGCATCTTCTACAATGCAGTGACAATGAGTTTTTTCCTGCAGGAAGTTCCTGGCATTAACCCTCTTCTACCTGAAGGGAAACCGAGGCACGGGGAGGCGAGCCTGGGATGAGCTGCAGGACCACGGGCTCTGCCAAAATTGGGCCTCGCACCAAGAGGAGCCTCACTCCAAATAATCCCACGAGCATCCGCTGCGAGGCTCTCTGAGCTTTTCTTCCATGCCCGGGACTAGGTTTGCTCCCAGGCTCCAGCCACATCAAGTTGGACTTCCCTGGAATAAGGGAAAAGGCCAAGAGCATGCCAATCAGAATCGGGGCCACGGCAGCAGATGCCAAACAACACGGTTTTCAGCAGTCGGACACCCAGACCCCTTTGGGGAGGCAGATCTGGGGCATCTGAGCTAGAAACGAGCCAGGAGGCAGGGCGAAAACAAAGGTTTTGCTCTCATTCAGAGCAAGGACATTGGAGACCACTCAAGATCACTTCAAAAAAAAAAAAATACACGAGCGAAAACCACAGCACGACTGAGAGTTTGGCACTCACACCTCTTCACAGGATGGCAGAGGAGGTTTGTTCAAATCCGGCTCAGTTTCCCATCCCCGCGGGACCCGTGGTTGCTCCGGGGAAAGGGATGCTCTGCCCCACCAGCCCTTTCACCCTGGACCCATCTCGCAGGAGGCTTGCCCGCTCCGTCTGCGCATCAGCTTGTCTCAAATCTCACAGCTCCCCACCTCCTAATAACAACGGCTTCCCCAACTGCTCGGAGGGGCCCAGTTTCTCCTCCCCACCACGTCCCAGCTCTTTGTGGGAACATCCGTGTGCACGTTTGGCTGATGCCTTATCCCAGCCTGGCTCCATCGTCCGTGCGCTCCCCGCACCCAACCCATGCACCCCTCCGCCCTCCAACTGAGATCTCAGGGCCGATTTTCAAGGCTGCGAGAGCCCTGTTCAGCCCTGGGATGATTCCTGAGGTCAGATAGAAAAGCGGGCGCAAGCGTGCAAGGATCAAGTGCGACTTAACAGTAAAAAGCACAAAATAGAAGGGAACTGCTGCTGGACAAGGAATAGAGATTTATTCGTCAGCTGCCTCCAGAAAGGTGAGGCTGTTCAAGAAAAAAAAAAACCTAAAAGGATACGAACTCAGCCATTTCAGACAAGGTTTCATTTCATCAGCCAACGCGTCCTTCTTTATGTTTCCTCCACCCTTTGCCCAAGTGCAAGTGGCCCACGGGAAGGAGGGTTCAACACCAAGGGGGATTGCATGCCCTTGCCCCATTTTATTGGGGGCGAATAAGGTTTCAAGGAGGGGGGAAAAAAAAAAAACCATCAAGCAGAAAACATACCCCCAGGGACTGTCCCAAACATGGATATGAGAAGACACGATTGCTCTACGGAGATGTTACAGGTCGCCTGCAAACTGGGCAGGGGGCAGCACGGAGGCAGCGCTCGGCTGGAGAAGGTCCGAGCCCGCTTCTCGACGACGGAGACGTCCCGGCTCGGGTCTCCTCTCCCGGCGAACCTCTAGCCAAACACCAAGGGGCAGCGCGGAGACACGGTGTCACGGGGGGGACAGAGCGACACAGTGGAGCGGGGAGCGCGCAGCCGACACAACAAAGCAGCATCCGGACGGCGTTTAGAGGATGGAGGGGACGGGAGAACAGGGGCGCCTCAGCGGACAGGGAGAGCTGTAGCGCGACACGAGGGGGGCCAAGGCCACCGTGGATCCTGCCACACCATCTATGCTGCTTAGGCTCCGGGATTTTCCATAGCCTTTGTGAAGAAAACGGACAGAGGTGAGATTAGAGCAGAGCGGCGGCAAGGACGGCTCTGCGCGCAGAGTCCCCAGAGGGAGCATCGCCGAGAGCCCGCAGCAGATCCCCACGCCTGCATTCAGCCCCCTAAAGAGTCAGAAAACACCTTGTTGGCCCCTGCTTGAGGGCAACTGAGCCGGCTCAAGATCCAGACAGCCTCCAGACATTCCCTGCTCTGCCTTCGACTCAGGCCAGCCAAATCCAGGCCTTGGGAGCAGACCACAGAAAAAAAAAATCAGTGCACCCCACTCAGCTCAGGCCTTTCCCTGCAAGAGGAGCCAGCTCGAGTGGTCTCACCTCCACCCTTCTCTTCCCAGCTGCCTCCCGTGACCATCCCTTCCTAAAAGCAGGCATCTGCCGAGAGCAAATTTAGCAGGGAGCGCTCAGCGGCAAATCCGCGCTCCTGGGCTTAGTCGCCAATCCAGGCTGGGAAGCGACGCCACGTGGCTCCTGTCACTAACCGACGCCGTCCAGCTCCTGTGATGCTGGGAGACCAAATCATTCACATGTCGGTCCTAGGGGGTTAGGGTTTTGTTTTTACAAATCGCTTTGAATGAGGAATGAGTCTGGGGAGTTTGTGGGCTGAAGCAAACGGGGAAAGAAGCAGAATTCAAGCAAATGTGTGATTTGTAATGAATTATTCCCTCGGCTCCAGTTTTTAAGTGTGCTGTAGTAGTAAGCTGCTGCTGACACCTTTCTGTAGAGAGGAGCAGGTAGACATGCTCGTTATTTTCCACGAGAAATTAAACTAAAGAGCAAATATTTCTTTTTCTTTAAGCAGGGAAACCCTTCGCACTCCCCCAAAGAGTCAGCCATTGCTTAAGCTTTTATTGAAAAGTGCCAAATGGAGCAAACGTTCTCAGAGGTCACAGTCACTTTTCCTTCTAGAAAGAAATCAAGTATTTGCAATGAAAACTGGACTTTTTCAGTCCAATCTGCAAAACTGGCAGTCCCATTTAAAGATACTTCCAGCATCCCCCGAGATTTGCCCTGCAGACCCCTGCTCCTCGCAGCACCAGCTCGCTACCAAAACCAAGTGCGCTCCTGTCCGTGGCAAGCCGAACCGCCTGGCGACATGCAACGCTCGCTGCGCTTGTGCTCTGCAGCCTGGCAGGTGACAGATCGCTTGCAAGAGCGACGCAAACCTGGGGCGAGCGGAAAACCGCAACACGTTGGCTTTTGCTGCGGTGTTGGGAACGGCCAGTGCGTGAGCATGTGCATGCAAGGAGGGAGAGAAGGGGACCGGCTCCCTGACAGCAGAAAAACAAGGTGATGGATGGCCTGTTAGCCGGTGCCAAGCTCTGAAACAATCCCGCGTCCCCTGGGAGGTCTCCAGGTTCTGCTTTGACGCAAAGGCACCGAGTCGGGGCCACCGGCACTGGCTCGGGGCAGGCCCCATTCTGCTCAGTTGAGAGCTGGCTGCTCGTGCCGAAACCATCGCGGAGCTGAAACAGCAGCAGGAAGTGGGAGGCCGAGCCAGCATACATCAAAGCCACATTTCACCCGCGTGAGCACAGGGTGGCCAAAGACGATGCTGAGACGCGCACGTAGCCCTGAAATGCTCCAGAGCACTACCTTTTATCTACTTTTATACTTATTTCTTAAGCATTCCCTAACCACCGCAGCCAACTGGGCAGGCATGGGAATTTTCAACCTCTTTTCACAACTGAGATCCCTACGAGGAGAAGCATCTCCTCCAGCAAAGCTTCTCCCAGCTCTAAAGCAGAGAAAGGGAAGCAGAAGAGAGGGCTGGTTGCCTAAACCTGTTGCTGACTTCAGCAAATTTCTCCATTGCCCACAATAAAAGCAAGAGCAGAATCCAGCCCCAAAGAGAAGAGCAATTTCCTTATTTACTTTTTGGCGTGAAGCCACTGGTCTAAATCCAGGCAGGGAACAGGCAAAGGAGGTTAGAGCAGCCCCGAGCCGCAGGGGGAGGCCAGCGCGCCCATGCACGGGCTCCCTGTCGCAAGCTGGGGATATTTCCCACGCTCAGCGGCGCGAGCGATGCCCCTGCCCCAAACAACCACCCTAATGACAGCATTGGGTTATTCACTCTGCAAACCCTGCTCTTTTCCCTGGGGCGCAAAGGACCTCGGAGTGGCTCACGCGTTTCCCTGCCCATTGCACACCCTGAGCTGCATGCGTGGGAAGCGTTTGTACCTAGCTGCAAGTGGCCTCCGAAAGCCTGAGGTTAATTATGGACCCAACACCCGAATGACATCGCTTTGGCCGAGAGTCATTAAGGGGCTTGCGGGAAGCCACCTTTCAATGTAAGGCCCTGCTGACGTGGCTGGATCCTTTATAACAAGGATCTTTGCCCTCTTGCAGAGATCACTCGATAAAAATGGGGCGGAAGGGTGAATAGAAACAGGGACAAAATCCTGCCGCCAGTTTTGATTAAGTCTTAAGCATCCCTTCATGGGACAGCACTTCAAAAGTATGTTTGATAGCTCCAGCACCCCTCTGAAACAGGGCTCCAAGGGCAAACAGCCAGCTGTCCAAAGACCAACACTTAGTTTTCTCCATCAGTTTATTCCCAGGTCATTCCCAGGCTCGCTGGCGTGCCCAGAAACGAGCTCGAGAAGATGCCCAGCTCTGCTCCTTTGGCTCTGAAGGTGACAGTGGCTTTCCACGAGACCGGAAGAGCTGGGTGCCAAGTCCAGCACCCAGCTGCTACCGAGGAGTAAAGTTGCAAAGCACCAGCAGGCTGTGCTATGCTAATTGCCACTGGTGCTGCTCGTTAGGGAGGCTGGTATCCCAGCAACTCACATAGGTGCTAACTGAGGTCACCAGGATTGGTTTAAAAATGGGTTTGTTGCCAAGGAGCCGTGTGGAGGCATCTTATAAACAGAGTGGCAGGGCACCATGTACCTCTGGGGGCTCTTCCCCACCAAGGCCCCAGCAGCCGGGCAAGGCTGCGGAGCCGCGTTACCCACGTGCATATACTCGTGGCACACAAGCACACGTGCCTGCTTGCACAGACATGCACGTTTTGAGTCAGCAGCAGATGGGGTAATGCAGGCAGGGATCTCGTGCGCTTGTTTATAACGGCGGCCCGGCACTCACATGCAGGTTGCACGCATGCCTCCGGGCAAACATGGACTTGTCCCTACTCCCCACCGTTCACACAAGCGAGCAGAGCATACCGGTGGTGTACCGGCACAGGCTTCCCCTGTGACCACGCACACTGCTCAACCCACATGCCACTCCTCTCCTGCACTAATAGCAAGCAATGGAGTAAAACGAGCAGCACAGCATGCTGGGCTTTGGAAACCAAGCCAAAAACTGCTGATGGACAGCGCTTTGCAATGCCAGCGTGCCATCAAAGGGAGGTGCTGGCATCCCTGACCCACTGCAGAGGTCCAACTTCAAGAGATAAATTCCCTTAACTTAACCTGGTTCCCTGTTGCTCCCCTTGAAAGGTCACTCTGATTTCAGTCCATATCTTGCTTTTCCCAGGCCCTCTTAACCAACCGAGCCTGGCACTGGCCAGGAGACCCACTGTTGCTCCCCAGCCCTGCAGCCCACAAACCCATCCAAGCAGAGGACAGATGCTAACATGCCATGACAGACCCATGTCAGCACGTGTTGGGCACCAGCTGGAGACCTTGCAGGGAATTTCTGAGCAGGACCCCAGGCCTTGAGGGAGATGAAAGGTCAGAAGCAGTCCCTAACAGAAGAGGAGCAAGGCTGCACCACTGCAAGCAGCAACAGGGACAAGAAATACATGCCACAGGATAGGCTTCACACTGCAGTCCAGCATGATCCTCTCCAGAACTGAGAGGATCACAGGAGATCCCAAACCTCTGGAATCAGGCTCAAGCCATGGCTGATGCCAAGATCTGCAGCATATTCCAAGCAGCCCCATCTCCCAATTTCCACAGCTTGTACAGACACCAGTACCTGCCCCAGGATCTGACAGATGGCCATCAGCAAATCAGGCTCAGAACCAAGCTCATCTCAATTTGCAGAGCTGCCAGCATCCCAGTACCAGAACAAACAGCCTCAGCAGGAGATAAATCAGGAGGCTTGGGGAGAGGTGCCTCTGCAGCTCCCAACGACTTTCGACCAGCACAGAAGATACTGCTTCGCTCTGATCTGAGCCTCCTCAGCCCCACAGCAAACCTTGACCACACAGGAGCATTTCACCAGAAAAAACACCAGCCTCAACCTCCTGGGGCAGCATCCCATCTACCTGCCACCAACAGCCTGAGCAGGACACAGAAACAGGGGCTTTCTTCTCCCAAAAGGTCTCACTCATCACTCAGGACCTCTGAACACCAGATGCACCCTTCCCCAGGCACAGGAGCCTTTTAGCAAGGTGAGGACAAGTGACCCATGTACACATCTATTTTTAACTGTATAAAACTCTGACATTTGCAGGAAGGACATCAGAGCGAACCAAGAGAGATCATTGAAGTGCTCTTTCAAATATCTCGCTACCACCATGAAAGGAAAAAAGAAAAAAGTGGCCTCCTGCAACCAAGCAATATCATTTGGGAGCAGGACTAGATCCTCATCTGTTTGAGCTACTGTAGCTCCCTTGACTTCAGTTGGCCAAGCTAAAATGCAGCTAAGAGATGCCTGGGTTGATGTCTTACAGGGGAGAAGATCAACGCTGGCTTTTGTCCCTCTCCCCCACCCTTTCCAGCTCAGCAGCCCCCCCACATCTGGGGCAGCACTACAGCCAGCCATAGACAAGGGACCCACTGACCTCTTCTCATTAGTCTGTGCTAAGAAAAGAGACCAAGTTCACAGAGAAAGTCATTTTTGGTAGGAAAGTGAGGGATTTCAAGTAAATATTTGTATAGTCCTCTTCTGCCCAAATAGAAGATGAGCTAGGCTTTTTTCTTTCTCTACTCCCCCCTTTTCTCTTTAAGGGGAAAAGGGACAAGGTTGGGCAGGAGCACCAAAGGAAACCCTTCATTTCCCAGGATGATGCAACCAGTTTGGTTCTACTAATGTAATAAACATGATTGCCTCCAAACATCTCCCAGGAGCCCTGAGAGAGCCTGGCCCTGGACAGCCTGGGACAGGCTAGGCTGCCTCACAAATGAAAGCACACTACCCCCTACAGTATAAAAACTCCCAGGAACGTGGGATGAGCCCAGCACCAGGGCTGGATGCTGCAGACCCAAAGCCAAGGTCCTCCTGTCCCAGCCCATCCAGTCTTTACCATCTGCAGTGATTTAAAAGCAATAAACTCCAAGGACCTGTGAAGCATTGACACCGTAAGCTAACAGACCCTGGCCTGCAGCTCAGAGACACTACATATCCTCTTTCCTCCTGTCTGGTCCCAAGTTGTGTACACTGATCCCAGCAAGCAGCCAAGGATTAGATGGTACCACAGAGGCAGACCAGCTCTTCAGCTACATTATCTCACATCACCCCAGACATGCAGGTAAATAAGAGAGAACCAAACCAGGTCCTAAGGCTTAACCTAGTAATCAAGGATGCAGCTGGGTTTGGCAGCTCCAGGTAGGCTCTGGATTCACCCTCCTAGGGCCCAGGCTCTGGGGTGTTGGAGAAAAACACCAGGCATGCTCTCCAGCGGAGCAGAGAAGGGCTGGAGGACAGCATGGAGGGACGAGGCTGAAGGGGCCAGTTGTTTTGTCATGGGAAGAGGAGTTTCACGTTTTCCTGACTGGTCTCCCCCACCACTTTCCATAGAAAACTTCAACACTTCAAGCTTAGCAAAACTCACTTCCAAAACCCTGGAAAACAGACAGCCTTTCTGGCAGCCCGGTACTTTCCCTAAGGCAGAACTTGACACACTGCAGTTTCCTAGCAAAGGGCTCAAACTCACCAAAAGTCATCACAGGAGAAAAAGAAAAGCCCACAGCCTTTTCCCCCCCCCCCCAATGAAAACCTTTCAACCAACTTCCTCACTGCCTCCCCAGCAGAGCTCTCCCCTTCATACCAGCCTGAGATGGCTGGGTGAGGACCAGGGAGAAGAGCTGAGGGGGTGGACAGAGCACCAATGAGCAAAGGGACAGGCCTGTCCCCAAAGAGAGCAGTCTGGCCAATGCCAGGCCACAGCTCCCAAATGGTGGCAACCAGGGGAAGAGGAAACAAAAAGGGCATAACTAGCACAAAGAGACATGGTGGATGGAGATGAAGCCAATGAAGAGGCAGGAAGACAGGTTTATTCAGAGGGCTAGAGATGGGGGGGCAGAGGGGAGCAGAAGACAGCAAGGCAGATTGAGATGAACCATGGTCTCAGACAGATGTAATAAATCCATGGCCAGACATGCTAGTCAAATCCTTCACTAGCATCACAAAGCAGAGGCTGAGCCTGAAGGGAGTCAAACCCCAGGGCTGTTTGGCACCTTAAGAACCAGCCCATGGCATTCACTGCCACCAGCTGTCCTTCCACAGACACAAGGGGTTTGACCCCAGCAGAGCAAAATGAACACAGGCAGGGCTTAGAGCATCCTCTCTCCCAGGGCATCAACCTCACTGATGCATCCTCATCTTCCCCAGCCCACAGACCGGCTCTGGCCGGCAAACACCTCCAGCCTCCCCCATACCTTTCTGGATGCCTCCATCTGCTGTGCAGGAGAAGTCACCTGTGGCCAGCAGGAAGCACGTGGAAGATTTCTTGTTCTTATCTCTCGTGCTGGAGCGCCGCATAGGCCGTTTCTCCTCGTCAGACGGCGACAGCGGCTGTTCCTCATCTGACAGCACCACGTTGGCTTCACCATTCTGCTTAGAGTCTGCAAGAAGGTGGCAGAGACTCATCAGCAGTCAATAACCCACAGGACAAGCTGCTCCCAAGATTCAGGGGTGGCCAGAAGGGTTTGTTTAGACCAAGTAAGGAAGCAGAGGACCAGATTGCAGATGGCCCAGAAAAACACCCAAGGATTCAGGCACTGATCCCAGCCTAGACATACTAACTTACAGCGTCTGGGGAAGCAGGACCATGCCAGATTTTAATCCTAAGCAGCAAACAGCAACTCTTCTTCCT